ATTTCCGACAAATGTATGAATAATCTTTGCATTGAGACATTGCTATGGTCAATAGAAATTATAACGAACATCATCATTCAACCGAAGTTTCAAGGCCCCTTTGGAGCAATTATCTTGTAGCAATCTCCTGCGATTTGAAGTAGGTTCATAAAAAGGGAGACAAATATATTGATAGATATAGAAATTCCATGGGACAACTCTGGAAAATCCTCTCTTTTGATCGGACTTCACACATTCTGACTATCATTTCTTTGGACATCTCAAAGAAGTGTTAAAAGGAAAAAGAATAGAAGTAAAACAGTTTGTAAGTAATTGGCTTCATACGCACCCGATGTCTTTTTATTACACAGGAATAAAGAAGCCCTACTTTGAAAAAACGTGCAGATCTTTAAAGAGAATACAAGAAAAAAATGGTGTACTTTTGGTAAATAATACTTCAGAAAGGATCTTTAGAGCGATCTCGTTTATATTTGATTCGCCTTCATATTTACACATTTTTTTCAGAATCAATAAATTTATTTTTGAATAAGATGCATTCCATTCTTCACTTCCTATACTTAAACGTTAAACTGCAATTATATTTTTCTTGTTATACTAAAACTAGATTATTCATAAATTGCTTCAAAATTTTAAGGATGCATAATGGATGTACAAACGAGCTACTATGAATATTGGAGAAATTTTCCCTCCAAAACTATGTTCAAAGTTTGTGGATATCTGCATGAGCAGCCTCAAAACGTGGTGTCTAAGAATGTGAACAATTATTTCCAATCGCTTTTTTCCATAATCTGTTGAGAAATGCATTTTATATGAATAAAAAATCGTTTTCTACAATATAAGCAAATGAAAGATGTCTGTATAATATTCTTATTCTTTAATTTTAATACTTATACCCAGCCCTTGAGTAGAGAAACTTATTATCACTCTCTTCTAAAACGTGAAGTGCTCTTCCCCTCGGGCAATTGTATCAGCGATTGATCGAAAAGTGTTCCCATTATTCGTTTTTATGCGTATCGAAAATGCTTCAGATGTGAAATCTCAGTACTAAGTTTTAATGTGGAAAGACCAATCTTTTTTAACTTACTTTATTGACTCTGTGACACTAAATAATGATATTGATTGATAAAAATAGATAACTATAGCATAAACTATTAACTAAAAATCATTTTAGATTCTACAAAATCAATTATGTATGTATATATTAATGATCAAGTACAATAGTTAATAGATCTCCAAACACACAGGCACGCGTACACACACACATGCCTGTTTTCTTTTATTGTTACTAAGTTAACTATTAGAGCTCAAGAAAATGTTTACAAAGCCAATGTATATTTAGAGCTCAAATGTCAGATGTGTCTTTTAAAACATGAACGCATAAAACAGACGCAAAATGAGAATTTTTTGCTATTTCCAATCGGCATTAATAAATACTTTAAACTATTAAATATTTTGGCACAATTAATTGTTTCAAGAGGCAAACGATAGCACAGTAGTTAAGATTACAAATTTCGATACCGATACCATTTGAGTCTTGTCATGATACCTCCTAAGACAAAAGCTCTCACGTTAGCGAGGGATGGAAGTTAGGAGAATTAATTGCCAACTTAAGTGTCATCATCCTCATTACTTTGCTAGTTAGTTAGTTAGTTAGTTAGTTAATATTAACGTCGCACTGTTCAGCTACACGAGGGCTTTTGGCGACGGACCACGTAATTTTGAACCATGGTCAAGTGACGTGGACGACACCTGAGCTGGCACCCCCCTCTCCTAACTACCACACCACACCAACGGGAGGACGTTTCAGCTCTCGACAGATTTAACGTGCATCGCTGCCCTACACGGCGGGTCTTTCGTGGTACTGGGCTCGAACCTGTGACAAAGCAAGCCACAGTCCGATACCTATACCACTCGGCTACCGCGGCCACCTCATTACTTTGCAACGGTCTCCCAAAAATCTGACTCTTTAACTACAAGGATTACGTATTCAAGTCTGACTAAACAATAGGAACAATTTTCATGACACAAAACACCAGGAGACACAAACACAAGTAATCAAGATAAAGATTTCATCACAATAACTGTTCCTTTTTAAGAGTTACGTGGAAGATCAACTGATGCTTAAAGTTACTGATTACATTTGGAACCATGATTTCTTTTTGTAAAAGTGTATAAATAGATAATTTTTTTTGATATTTAGTGTCACCTGAATTAGAATATATGTAAAAGTTTGTTTAACCCTTTATCTACCGCATTATGACTTACTGCAGTTTTATTCATGCAATATTTTTTTTTGGATCACTACATTCAAAATTAAAGGATATACGTAAACGAAATACTCAACTTTGGGAAATTTAATCGGTTAGAACTAATTAATTAATTAAAGATATTCAACTGTAAAATTAATTATATACACTGGTCCAGTGGCACACCCAAGGGGGGGGGGTCCGACCCCCCAAAGCCCTTGATTTTTTTTATAGATTGATTATAATTCTAAGTATATAGTACGTAAAATTTAATTAAGTATTTGTTAATAATGATTAATTTTATTAATTAATGCTAATTATTTATTCAATAATTAGTTTTTTAATTTTCCCCCCTCGAAAATCGACAAAATCAAAAGGAGCATGATACAAGAATGGTGAACTTTCGACCCCGGACCCCCTCCCCCCCCTTGAAAAATTCCTGTGTGGGCTACTTCACTGGTCATTTAAAATAAATAGTCAAATCATTTTCTAAGGTCTTCATTAACGTACAAAAAAAAAAGTAAGACACTAAATTTTGTCATTAACTATTTTTTTGGGACAAAAAGGATAATCTTCGCAATCCGCTGAAAAGGCAATTTCTGCTATAAAACTATTCGCCTTCCCCACTAAAATACTCATCATAGAACCCGTGCTGCCATATATCTTAGAAGAGTGGATTTCACAGAATATTCCTGCTAAGTATCGTCCGAATATTCTTAAAAATAGTTATTCTATATAATTTTAAAGTGAGTGGTACTTATAAGTACTATAGGTAGATAAAGGGTTAAAATATTATTGCTATTAAATTTCTTTTGAATGCAATTTTTTGACAAAAAATTGAAGAAAAAATGACATATTTTCAAAACATTCGCTTTTTATGGAAAATTCTTCTATAATAATAATATTTTGCCTATATACAGTAACGACTTCTCTTCAGAGCCTGAACAAGGATTTTTGAAAAATTCACATAATTTTTAGAGTTACTATCAATTGAAATAGTAATCGATGTTTTCTTATAAGTTTCTTTGCTCTGATATATTAAAATATAATTAGATCAACGTCCAAACTATACATTTCAAAAATCCTTCTTCAGGCTCTGTGTAGAAGTTTTGAAGAAGTAGAAGCTTATGTATAGAAGTAGAAGCTTATATATAGGTTAAATATTACTATTAGTCGCCAACCCAATTTAGTGGTTAGCGACGCTGACTGCTGTGCCGTTGGGACTGGGTTCGAATCCCGGAGAAGACATGGATGTTTGTAAATGTACAGTGCCTTCGCGGCTTGGGGTGCTTTATATAGCCGTCGAGCCGCCAGTCCTCTCGTGAGGTTGGTAGTAGGGGAAGAGAGGTGGGTGGCCTTTGATCATCCCCAGGGTGTTCTCTCTCAAAATTGGGGTGAAACCGAGCTAAAATCATTCTGTCACTTGTATGGTGATCAAAGCTACGGCTCAAGACAGGCGTCACTTAGCCCTTTGCCATGATGAATTTTGTGGGCCTTGATCTGGCCTTTGCCGATCAGGTGGCATTTATAACAACAACAAATTATTATTATTATTATAGAAGCCTTTTCCATAAAAATAGAATGTTTTGAAAATATTTCATTTTTTCCCCTCCATTTTTTTGCAAAAAAACTTATTTAATTAATTTCTTTTTCTGTAATAATATTTTTAAACAATTTTTTTATGCATATTCACATTCAGGTGACACTAAATATATAAAAAAAACTATTCATTTATACGTTTTTGAAAAATTATACTTCCCAGCGTAGTCCGATACTTAAAATAATCCAAATTTAATGTATCGGAAATGTTCCCAGAGGATAAAATGAGAGATTACGTCGTGTCTCAAAATCAACGATCACAATAAGCCTTTTCCAAGAAGTTTCTAAAAATGGTTTGCACTTCCAAAGCTAATACATGCCTAGGATTAGGCAACGGAGTACTAGCTAGCTGCTGAATTTTTTAAAGTGAAAATCTCCGAACTGCTATAATCACTATTTTCTCAACTAACTAACAGCTATTTAATTCCACATTCTTCTTTCTCTTACTTTTTCAATTCCTACTATTAGTTCACTCTCTCCCTATATATATATATATATATATATATATATATATATATATGTATAGCAATTACGCTTATAGCCTTATTATGATTTCTTAACAGATTCTAATTTTGGCTATTGTATATACTCTTTTACTTTTCTATGTATCAATGTTTTTTAACTCTTTGATTTCATATTCAAGAATGGTTTTACTTCTTTTTATTATTATTGTATTTTATGGCTTTTAGTGCATTATTATTTTTATATTTTTGTTTATGTATATGTATATGTGTGTATAAATTTATATATATGTGTATGTATATGTATATGATCATATATTGAAAAAATTCTTTTATATTTGATTATATATATATATATATATATATACATACACATATATTTATATATATATATATATATATACATACACATATATTTATATTTATACATACATACATACATACATACATATATATATATATATATATATATATATATATATATATATTGTTCAAATTTTCAGTCGTTAATAAAATACTTTCTATTCATCCATTTAAGTTCAAATGCGTTTTTTAAAACTTGCAGTGGATTATACTTGATGTTAATACAGTTTCTTCGAATATTAATTCATTAATTAAACTAAAAAATGAATAAATAGTAACAAACAAAAATAATAGTCCAACAGCATATATAGAAAGGAAAATTGTTCGTTGTGTCCCTGTAGCGTTATAGATAGCGCGTTGGACTTCTAATCCATAGGTCATGGATTCAAATTCTATTTGGGATGGCCGAATTTCTGAGAATGTGACTTCTTTTTTATTATACTATTTTATTGGAATAATTAAATCTAATTAATGAATAAATAGTAATAAAAACAACAAACAAAAACAAAAACAAAAAAACAAAAACAAAACAAAAACAGTCCAACACCATCTATAGAAAGGGAAATGGAAAATTGCAAGGAAAATAGCTTTCTATTTTTTCACTTAATATTGTGATTCTGCCATATGTATGTACATATTTATATTAATTGTAACTATTTGATAAAATCTAACTAAAATAAAACTGCTTGCATATATTAGAACCAATTTGTCTAATCCACTGCAGGGAGATGGCAGTTAAACTCTAAGTAAAAATTTAAGGAATATTTCCCCATGTTAGCTTAAGAGAGAACCTCACATGATATCCCGCTACAACTTGACCGTGATTCATAATTGTGAGGTGTTTCTCCAAAAGCTTCGTTACTTCAAAGTGAGGCGTCACACACACACACACACACACACACACACACACACACACACACACACACACACACACACACACACACACACACACACACACACACACACACACACACACACACACACACACACACACACACACAAATTAAGCAGCCAATCAACCTCCAAAGACGCATCATGCAAAATGATGGGACTGGCACATGTAACATTTAATTAACTTTTTAGTCCTTATATGTTTTGGTGTGGAAGTTTGCAGATGAAATACCGGTATAGGTGTCCTTTTTTCGATCCAAGAGTTCAAGTTAGAAGGGTTGTCGTTAGTTGTCTTTATGTTATTTATAGAATGGTGCGAATTCGAACGAAGTACGGTTTAAGAATACTCTCAATACTTTTTGTTAGGAATAAGCAATAGTAATTATTCCGAAAGGGAGGAAAGTAAGCTACAAAGTCTTTTAGTGCTTACGAAAATTTATTATATCTATCGATGAGTAAATAACACAAAGAAAGAGAGAAGAAAAGATATATAGTCTGGAAAAAAATCAACTTTTTAAAAACATTGAATAAAGAGTACCACTGAAAAACACACTATTAATATCAATTTTCAAGTAATTATCCAAAAATCCAAATAACTTTTTATACCATTCATTGATCTCTTCTAATTAACTTTACATTTTTATTTATTTTTTTAACAAATTACTTAGCTAGTAATCGAATGTCCCTTCAGTGGTTCGATAAATGAGGACAAAGCCTGCTTGGGAACTGAACACTAGGGGGAGTCGTGTCAGACTGACCACTTTACTGAATCCTCCGCACACTTACCCCAGCGCCTAAGGCGGGGGTGGCGAGCCATTGGCACGCGACATAATATTTTAGGCACGCCACCGATCAAAACGGTTTACATTTTAATTCAAAATAACAAAGTTCAAGATGAAGTGTTACGAAAAACGTGAGTGATAGGTTGCAGTTTTCAACGAGATTTTCTCAGTTCAAAGAGTTATCGGAAACGTTCAAGCTTTTTTATGTACTTTGATGTGACTTCATTTAATAAACTGAATTTGTCCCAATTCTATTGGTTGTAAATCGACTTCCAGTCTAGTTCAATATGGATTCAAAATTTTTTTTAAAAAAGGAAAAAGTTGAAATTGATTAAAACAGAAAGATTAACACACAATATAAGTAAAAATGCTAGTAATGAAATTTTAGAAACATGGAATTTGATTTCAGATACATTTAGCTATTTGAAGGAACTGGCTCATGCTATTTTAACCATATTTTCTTCTACCTATGCCTGCGAGTCATTATTTTCATAGATGAATAACATTAAAGTTTCATTTAGAAACCGTTTTGAAGATGGTTCAATTCAGCTTGCATACTGCTGAAAGTAACATCTTACAATCCTAATACAAGTTATTTGTCATCCAAACTACCACAACAAAATTCACACTAATGTTACTTTAATTTAAAATGCAGTTATAAATAAAACATTTACAACTGTACAGGGCAAAATGCATTTTTTCTTTGTAAATAGAGAGTTTTCAGTTGTTAGTATTTAATTTTATTATTTTTTCAATAATCAAAAATTAAAGTTATTTAACGGCACGTCTCTACCTCCTTCAACATTTCTTAGAGAAAAAAAATGGCAGGTTCATCCAAAAAGGTTCGCCACCCCTGGCCTAAGGTCACGTAAACTGAGATAGGCACAATAGGCCTTGGCCCTTATGGGCTGTTGCGCCACTGAGTTCAGTTCAGTAATCGAATGTGTGTAAACACGAGTCAACAACAAGCTATAAATACAATTAAAGCAATTTTGAAAATCATGGCCTTTAAATATTTAAGCTAATTCTTGTAGTATTATTTTTTTAAAACAATTTAAGTTTGATGATTCTGTTAAATAATAAGCTTGCATTCCCGCAGAACTTTTTTCCATACACAAAACCACTGGACACTTTTTAATTTTCATACTTTTCCAACTTGATTTTTAAGGTCACGGCCATGAACACAGAAATAAAAAATATTTGTTAAAAAGGTAAGCCACAAAATTCAGAGCTTTCCTTACAAATAAAAACAATAAAAAAATAAACAAATTAAGAATATTTCGCAGAAATAAAAACAATAAAGAATTCAAGTATAAATAACCTTCATAACACACATACAAACACAACTGAAATAAAAAAACAGAAATAAAAATCAGCCTTTACTCTGTTTTATATATATAATTTTAAAATATACTTCAACACACACCTGTGCCCCTGTAAGATTGTCACTGCTGTGCTGATGGTGAGCAAAGTATTGAACTTCTCACTCTTTTTCTTGTTTTTTCTTATTTTTTTTGTCTTTTTTGCCAGCTTGTTTCCAATAAAGTTGTATTCGCACTATTTTTTCTTGATTTGATTTTGTAATTTTTGTGTGTTTTGCTTTATAATTGTCTTTTCTTTTGCTTTGTATGTTTTGTTTACTTTATTTACTTCTGTAAGTCTCGGAGGATATATGTACCGTTACATTAAATTACCTGTTTCAATTATTTTATGTTTCCAACGATAATTTAAAAAAAACTTCTTCAGCTGTTTCAAAAGTTATAATGCTTCTTTTCTTTGGTTGTGCAGACATACCATCACTGTTCGAGTTAATAACAAAAAATTCAGCAATTTTTTTTTTTTTTTTTTGGTACTGCTTCATTAGTTTAGATGTTGGCTATATTCCTCACTTCATTAATCATAGCTGATTTATTTTTGGATGCCATGATATTGGTGATTAATATTTGCTTACTTGGGATATATATATATATATATATATATATATATATATGTTCTTATAGATTTCTTCGTAAGGATTATGTCAATTATTTTTACTGTCGAAAAATTAAAATTGAATGTTCTCTCAGTATTGGAATCTTTGTTCAAAAATAAGTTTGCAATTCACCTTTTATTTTGTTTAAAACTTCAATTTTCTTTTCTTAACTAGTTTATCTTTGCTTGAGAATATTTTTGGTTTTGATATCATAGGGAATAATAAACTTAAAACTATAATCGTTCACAATAATATGACTCTCATTCTATTTATTAATGGTATAGTGTAAAAAAATTTCCCCTCGTCCCGATTTTTTTGTTGTTTTCGCTAAGAAGCCTTGTAAATGAAAAATTGTATACACTAAGAAATGACTGTATTTTCTATTTCAATGTATAATAGCTTCTGAAGTATTAAAACTCTTAAAGCAATTTTAATGAAGCGAAAGTTCTTTTTCAACGAACAGTATTATTCATTTGAGAGGTTTCCGTAAACGTGGCAGCGCTTTCACTTTCAAATGGAGAAGTCATAGGGCTTCATTCTCATATTACCTACCACCTTCACAACTTCCTATTGGAAAGACTCGGTAAAGTGAGTTCTTTTTAAAGAAAAAAAATCCAGTAGCTATGAAGAAAGAAATGAATGAAAAACTAATTTTGGCGGGTGTGTATTCAGCTTCGGTATATATTTTCAATAGAACTTTATATAGGCTTCAATACTTTACGACGTAAATACAGCACTATAAAGGTAAGAAATAAATATAAAAACGTTATATTTACGGTACAATTCAGAAAATTTCTGAATATCTTGATTCCAATTGATATTTTATCGCCGAAAGGAGAGCTTTTTCTTTCATTTAGTATTTAAAAGAAAAACAACATTGAAATTCTCCCAAAACATTGTGTTATTGAAGTTATAAGCATGAAATAAATTGATAACTTAAGAGTTTCCCAGTTCAGTCAACTCTTTATAAGTAGATATCACGCCAGTTAAACTCTTTGCATTTGCTTAAATTTTTATAAATATTTAAATGGAAACAAGTAATAAAAAAATTTTAAGTCAATTCCTGCTTAGGTCAACAAAGAAAAATTTTATTTTAGTTACTTTTAATTAAATAGTTACAAGTAATATAAATATGTATATACACATGATATAATCACAATATTAAAGCTACACAGTACTCTACAAATATCATATTTACCGGAATTTTTTTTTTTTGCATTTTCTTGTGGCTCATATGATTAAGAAGCTTGTCACAAAATTTCAAATCTGTTAACTAATTAGTTTTTAAGATATTTGAAGTTTTCGGAGCTATGATTTTGGTTTCGGTTTCATTTTAAAGCATTTTTCTACTCTTAAATTGAATTAATTAAAAATATTCTTGTTCACAATCAACTCTTTTAGTGTGAAATGTTTATTAATTCCAGTTGTCATTGCTAAAAGGATTTCTGCTTGATTATGTTTTGATTTTTTTGAATTATCATAATTAATTAATTAAAATTGATTTCAATGTCAATTTTTGCTTTAAAAAGTAGTTTATAAAACTTAGAAGCTTTCATTAATTTTTAACTGTTAAGAAAATGCCCTGGCCAAAACATTCTCAGGTTCCTGAGAGAAACAATTTTTCGAAGAGATGGAATACTACTGAAAAGGATGAATCTAAAAATCAGTTCTCAGCTGACACTGCAATTAGACCTTCGAATACAAGTATTCTGAATTCAAGTATTTAAGATAAAGCTGGAAATTTCTTTGATGTACCAAA